TCTATCCAACCAAATATATATATATATGTATGTATGTATATAAGCCATCCCGTCTTCTAAATAGTCTTTTCCTACTGTTTTTCTACTGGTTGGATAGGCACCCTCTATTATCGTATCTTTTTGCTATGTGACTAACCATCTCCCTTTTTGTGGCTTAATTCTTTCTATTGTAACTCTTTTGTCTTTTCTATCATCCATGCTTTCTGTCTTTTAGTCTTAACTCTAGTCTTGGTCTTTCTATTGATCGATGTATGTCTCTCACTTTGTGTTCAAGAAGTTTACTAAGTTCCTTGTTTCACCCGCATGCGTCACAGCGCTGGAACACCACATTTTGATTATGCACCAGATTTTAAGAAGACTCGATGGATGCTTTCCATTAATTATCATTTTTGCTAAATACTTTCTAGTCTATCGTTCTAAGTCATTTCATTTCCATGTTTTTTATTCATCTTACCTCTTCTCCTATGTGAAAAAAAATAATGCCTCCAAAATGAAACTGCTATCCTATTCTCACATCAAAACGGCTGATTTCCAACTCATCGAGAGCGCCTCGTTACGCCTGCTTGGTTTCACGCCGTCCAATGACATGAGGTGGAATAAATACTTTGAATCCATTGCTTCATCTACCACAAGGAAATTTGGCTCTCTATTTCGTGCCAGAAATTTTTTCTCGTCTGAGTCCATCCTTCAAATCTATAAATCAACCATCCGTTCTTTAATGGAATAATGGAATGGAATATATGGTCTGGTGCTCCCGCTGTATGTCTCGAGGTCCCTGGCAAAATCCAGAGGCGAATATGGAAGAGGATAGGTTCTGATCTGGCATCTAGTCTACAATCGCTATCCCACAGACGTGCCATGGCATCCCTCTGTCTCTTCCACAAGTATTTTCACGGCAACTATTCCGACGAGCTACTTTCGCTGGTTTCCGGACTTCATGAATTTAAGCGGCTGGCATCTCGGTCCCACCCTTCCACTGTCAAAACGGTTAAATGAAACCGTCTCTTCTTCTCAAACAGCTTCTTCTCTCGCATTTCCCGTCTCTAGAATTCCCTTCCCCTTACTTGCTTCTCCGATAACAATAATCTTTAAATATTCAAGTGTAATATCAATCGACATCTGACATCCTGAGCTTGTTCCCCCGTCCTTCTCTGTATACTTTCCTCAAACACTCCTCTTTAGTAACCCCTTGCGTGCTAGTCGCACTCTTGTCTTGCTTGGGATGAATTGCCTTAAAAATGTATTCTTGTTCTTCTTCCAGTTCTGCCCTCATCCTGATGATATTTTCGGACTTTTACAGTTGAACATTACGTCTATCTTACTTTTGTATATCTTTCAATCGACCATGGAGAATTTCTCTAGATCATTTCGCATGGCTTATAATTCATCCGATGATTCTGAGATTAATAAAATGTCCTCAGTAAATTATATAGGCTTTATGTTTTTATATTTTTATTACTTCAAGCATCCATTTTACTGGACACCCGTATTTGTGTAGACGCTCCGTTTATTTTAAACAGTATTTATTTCGTCTGTGTACTCGAGAAAACTTATTAAAGAAAATGTGCCCTTCGTCAGGATTCTAACCTGCGTTCTCCTTTGCAGGCGGGACCACCGTCTCATCCACAGTTGCTTTAACCATTCGGCTATGAAGACCTTCAATGTCAATCAAAGTTCTAGAAACTGTTTATGTTTACTCACACCTTTTTCAAAGTCTACTGTAAAAAGGTGATATGAAATTGGAATCTCTTGTATCAAACTTATTTTCCTAATCTTCAGTTTTATATCTATCTGTGTTTCGCTAAATTATTGCCGTACTGTTATCATGTATAGTCTCTTAAATATTTATATAATTTTCATGAATACTCTGGTTTAATGGTGACTTGATAACTGTCGCGTGTTCTGTTGACTCACATAACTTTTCAGAGTCAACCAAAGCTAAACAAAGTGATTTATCATGTTTTTATTATTTATTTATTTCAATCAATTGAATGTTTATTTGTCGATAGTCTGTAGTTCGGCAGGCACTCACCAAACCTGTCTGTTCACGTGGTTGGTTTTCATCTACGATGTTTGATGATCTGGAAATACTTTTCAGAATAATCAAAGTGTTCGATATTAATGTGATAAGTGTGATAGTTGCTAAAATCTTTGTTAATCATATTCTATAAAGTACAATTATTTTTATATTGAAGTTTGTGGGACGTTTCTTTTCCATATTCTCTGGATAAACAGATATTCTAATCCTTTTTGGAATTGTTCTGCATTTTTCAAAATGTCTGCTACTCTACCGTCTTTGCCTGATGATTTCTGCATTTTTTCTCTGTTATCTATGGAACAACACCAAGATGTTATTTTTTTTATTTTTAATGCATTCAGGTTTGCCTAGTAAACCATGGTTATACCTAATATCTTATCCCTATATTTGGTAACTTCTTCGTTTATATCTTTCGACGAAAGCCATTATAGTTTATTTGTATAAGCTGCAGATCAAGTATATTTCAAATGCTACCCTCTACTAATTCTCAGTATGTTTCGATATCTTTTTATTAACACTCTGTTGTCATTGTTACTTAAGGACTGATCGAGTCAAATACTTTTTCATTCTCAACCGATACTAACCAATATGGTTTATTCTATTTTGTTTTTGTTTCGATCATTTGATCTGTTATTTATTGAGTAGTCACTCCTAAAACCTTCCTATTTTACTGAATGGTTTGCATCTAGAGTATTTGGTAGTTTGTTTGAAGTACTTTTGAGAATAATTTGTCAATGTTCTATAGTAACGTAATAGATGCCAAGGTATTAATTATCTACTTTTTATAAAGTAGGGTTTTTAGACTAAAGTTTCAAGGATAGTTTCTTTTCTCATATCCTCTGAACGAATAGATGTGCTAATCCCTTTTGGATGTCTTTTTTGCATTAGTCAAAAGGTCTGTTAATATGCCATCTTCACGTGAAACTTTCCTGCATTACACACGTTGAAACACAAAATTTATGTTGTTATATACGGATCATAAATAATATTTGTCAGAGTAACTGTAGGTGGAGATTATATCTTCGAAGTATACAACTTTGCATAATAATCTTTGATTATTCTTCGCATTTTCTCTTTTATTTCGTGATGTTCTCCCCAACCATATTAGACTACGTTTTCCATCTGACAATCATTTTAAGGTTAAAACTGTCTTTTTATCACAGGATCATTTCCTATATTTATTTCTACATTATCTGTCTATATTTTTGAGATGAGGTATTATGTACATTATTTACATTATTCGGACTATTGTCCTCATCTTTGCCGCCATATTTATTACAACGTTTCAGCCGTTGTAATAAATTATTTCTACATGTTTACCTTTTTAACGGTAATGATTTCTCAACAATTATGAACTCAATTTCATTTACTTTTGAAATGGTTTATTAATAATTGTTATTTTGTGCCTTTCTCAGATGTTAACTTAAATTTCGACCCTTTCGTTTTTAAAATTTTTCTACAATAAATTCTCCCTCATTTCTTTCCACCATTTTCCATTGACGTCATTAATTAAAATGGAGACATTTGTTTTTTTTCTCTGTCTATAAGGCGACTGATATCGTCGTAAAATCCTTCAATTTTCAAAAAAAAAAAAAAAACGTTTCGAAGTTGGTGAATATAATAACTGACGATACTGTCTATCTATTGACTCTAAATCCTCCTCTACTATTTTTATGATCGATATAATAAAGAAGATACAAAGAATACTTTACTTTCCTATAAAGCATTAATATCTACCGTAAGCTAAGTGATGCTGTTCAGTTCCATTATTATCTGTTCCAGTTTATAAACTTGATTTTTTTTTTATACCGAAGTCATTGTGGTGATTAGACAATGATCACGATCGACGAGACACAAATTTGACCATTTTGCTACACGATGATCCAATAGAAATAGCACTCCAGTCTTGTCATCATTTTGGGATTTAAGAAGATAATGACAAACTGAGCCCACGCATTGCCACTAATTTCTGGTGAACTTAAGGAATTTGTTGCCACTGAATCGCAGTCAGCGCCACTTCAGAGATTCATTGTCTTTTAGTATTTATTGTATCTCATCTCGGCAACTTGAGACATGGGTGGGCGAAAAGTATTGAATTAGCAAGTCAAATCAACGCATGTGCAAATTGATAAGGGAGGTGTGACCTCGAGCCTACAGAAGGCAAGAAGCGTTGTTCTTGGTGGCCATTGTCGATAAGAGTAATTAATATCATTACAAATGTATACGTCGGACGAGTTGTATAGGTTTCTCTATTAAAATGAAGCAGAACCGAAACAAAATATTATTCAGGTATGTTGTGATAACAACGAAACATTATTTTACGAAACAACGAAAAGATGACGAGAAAATTGTTCGGTGAATTGGTTTTTTAGGCGTTATTGCTAAAATCAAATGGAATCTATATTTTGAGTTTGTCATCAAGTTTGAAAAGAAGAATGAGAAGAATGGTGGCACACAGTTATAATCATTTCTTCTTCCTGTTTCGATTTGTTTTATGATTTAATTGCTCTGACAACAACATGAATTTAAACTTGCTACTACATTGGCATTTAGGTCCCACCTGTTTACTCTTGAAACAGCTTAATGCAACTGCCACTTCTTCTGCAACTTTTCTAGCTCTTTCTGAGTGTGGAACTCCCTTCCGTTTACTTGCTTCTCTAATAAATACAATCTTCACAAATGTAAATGCAACGTCAATCGCCATCTTCTGTTGACTTAAACCCCGTTCATCTTTTATCCTTTCCTCAATCCCCCCCCCATACCCAATCTTTTCTCTCACTTTCACTCTCTGTAACCCCCCCCCCCGCTGCATACTAGTGGCATTCCCGCCTTGCTTGGGGGTGGGGAAGTGATTCAAAAGAAAAGAAAACAAAACAAAACTTAAAAGACAATTATCAATTTAGTTAAAGTTCAGCCTTGGAAGTTTATATAATCTGTAAGCAAGGTCTAATTTTTACGGATTTACAGCCATATCATTTTGAAACACCGGTTCTCGTACGACCACCGGAGTTAAGCAATGTCGAACTAGGTCCCTATCTAGATGGCTGACTGCATGGAAATACCAGGTGCTGTAAACTAGGATGTGCGGGTGGTGTAATGATAACGCAGCCAAGTTCGAATTCCAGCAGCATTCGTTATATTCACTTACTCGCCCAGACGCTTGAGAAAGGAATGAACCCATCACTTCTCCACCCAGCCATGGGCTAAATAGTAGGATTGTATGAGTAATTACTCTTCTCCCCAAAAATCTTATGATGCAAAAATATTGCATGGCTTCAAATAACCAGCTAAGATATGTCATAACATAACGAGTATTTAAGCCATAAAAAGCCTACGTAATAGATAGTCACAACAATTTCTGACAGGGAGACAAGAAAATATAATTCATACAGAAAATTCTGTGTACCATGAATCCAAAGAAAAGTTTTGAAATAAACACCCCATTCAAACACCTAATCCTATCTCTCTCTCTCCCTCTCTCTCTCTCTCTCTATATATATATATATATATATAAATAATTATTTATTTATTTAAAAATTATAACACAAATATGTTATAAAATCACAACAAAAATAGCCATTTTGTTTCAACACCTCTGGTGTCTTATCAAGTGATGATGTTGAATGTAGAATAAATGGTTTTAAAAGGTTCAAATTAATTATATATATATATATATATATATATATATATATATATATATATATATATATATATATATATATTTAACTGTTTATATTTCCTATCTAACATTACATCACACTTTGTAAGTGGTTTCCCCTACAAAAGAGGCACAGGTTCGAACTACTGAAGGGCACATTTCCTTTATTACGACTCTCGAAAACACATGATGGTAGACATAATTCACATTATTCTTTTAAACAGGGCGTTTATTTAACACAAGTATCCACTAAAATATAATATTAAAAGAAATACCCTTTCCTTTTGAATTATGAAGTTGAAAGAAACTTTACGGTAGATGGCGCAGCGTTGCAATATTGACTAGATTACATTTGTCATTCATGTACATTTTGTAGCTAGTCTTTCTTCAACGTTATTCGTTATTTTTAGGGATAAAACTCATTTGAATAAATGCACTGTTTTTAATTAAACAGTATCAATTACATTTAGAGGTCTGAATGCTCGAAAAATTTCGGAGGAAATATGCATTCTCAGACAGGAACCGAACGTGTATCCCATACGGAAACCCTCATTTTGCGTAACGTGCTGTTAACCATTCAGCCACAAAGAACTTCCTGTTAGCAAAGTTCAAATTACTGCTTATAAACACACATCCTCAACGATTTTTCTCCATATATCATTTTTACTCCGAAACCTAACGCAAACAATGACAACAGATTAGGTGAAATCGATGAAATCCGACAAATATTAATTAAAAACAGAGCATTTACTCAAAAAAGTGGTATCCATAAAAATAACGTATAAACGATATATATATATATATATATATATATATATATATATATATATATATATATATATGAAGAAATATAATTTTAAGGTGGATAAAGGGCTCAACAGCAGAGACAGAGAGTATGTAAATATAAAAGTGAACACTGAAGTCAGCACGAGGCCCGCTGGCCCAATGGTATGGATTGCACTGTGTTGAGGATTCTTGTTCTAGGCTCGATGAATTATTCAAAAGCGTGACAACCGGGGTCACAAACTCACTCACATCAATCCAACCAAATATGTTAACTCTATCTCTGATATTGAGCGCTTTCTAATAAGTACCAGTACCGCGCATATAATTTATAATATATATATATATATATATATATATATATATATATATATATATATATATATATATATGTTTGAGCAATAAAAATATTAAAAAATTAAAATTTTCAGACACACTGGATTGTATATTAATATTTTTTTTCCATTATTACAGTTAGGTTCCTTGACTAGTTATGGTCAGCATGGCCACCATCAGGAGAAAAAAAATTCCTGCTTGTTAGTAACAGTGAACTACAGGAATGAATGACTTTCTGAAGAAAATTAACTTTATCTGTAGTTTTTATTTGTTTGTTTTTTTATCGTTAATTTTGTTCAGCCCTTATGTTGGTCAAATAGCCTCTTTTAAGTTGGTTTTAAGATAGAGGCTGGATGGATGCATGCTACTCTGAATTCCCTTCTTGGTCATTTTGACAGTTTTATTTGTTTCTTGGGAGGGGATATGTTTGTGTTAAGTGTATGTTACCATTTTAGTTCTTCAGGAATGTGTATATTAGTATGGGTGTGTGTATAAGTGTGAGACATCAATGCTCCCGCAAGCATGTCTGTCTTGTGTGGATGAGAAACGTGGGTAGGGCCTGATTTGTGGGATTATATATTAATTCTATCTACGTTGTTAAATTTGTGATTAAGCCCGTCTGGATGGAGTTTTTTTAGGCGCAGAATCTACTTATCATCATGGCCTTCTAAAATCTTTTTAATGTTATCTGTTCTGAACTTTTGTATTTTCTCAATTATAGTGAATTTGGCATAAGTTTTAAAATCGTGTTTTTCTAGGCAGAAATATTTTACAGGTAACAATCTTTCGTGGGGAGCTGACTTTATTCGATTACGATAATTATTAATTCTGTCGTGGCCATTCAGATTTTCCCACATACTGTTTCTGTCATAATGTGTATTCTAAGAGGTAGATTATGTTGTGACTTCTACAGTTAGACTCGTGGTAGATTTTGAAAATAGATTTAGTGACTGAGCTAGTGAACGAATTGATGTATCTAATGTGGTTACAGCATAAGCTCGTTTTGTTGTTACATGGTTGGGAAAATACTGTTGTTTTTATTTTTGGTCTATTACGGATTACCTTATCCTCCTCTTCTTAGATTTCTGACCGTTACATGGTATTACAATCTGTAGCGGACACTTCCGCTTTGTTTTAAACTTTTAGGGTCAAGCCCTTATCGAAACAAGAATGCATCTTTGTAGTGAACAAGTTGTTTTTGTCTGTATGTAAAAATTATAATAAATAATTAATGCTCTACTCTTGGTATCGAGCCCTCTTTTGAATTAATGCTATGAACGTTTGAATTTATATTATTTTCGTGCTCATTACATTCGGATATTCGTGTGTGTGTTTATTCAGTTATATGGATATGAGTTTTTAACACTCGGTTTCACTCCTTTGCGATCATCAGACAAAATGGTTTCTTTTTTAAATATTGGATCTATTTATGCTTCTTTATGTTTGATTATGTTTGGTTGTGGTACTGGGAAATTTTCTTCTGTGTTTGTTTGGGATGACACTCTTATGCACATGTATATACATGCATACAGATGTACGCATTATAGTTCACATAAACACACCCATACAAACAATCCGAGGTTAGGCGCAGATGTCTTCGACCATACATACATACATACATACAGTGCGTCTACATGTGTGTCTATGTGTGTGTGAGGAAGTGTAAGTTTGTCTGACGGCACGGGAGGCAGATAAGTAAAGCGTCAAGAACACCACACCCGTTCCTTGTTGAAAGGAACATCGCTACATATAATAAAAACTACGGTCCTGGCACCGAAATAGAGTTACAATTGCGTATTACAAGCATAAATAGATCCATTAAAAAAAAATAAACCAGTTTTATGATTCCATGAAACCCAGGGTCACAAACTCATATCCATACAACTGAATATGTTAACTCTATCACTGATATTGAGCACTTTCTAATAAGTAATGTGTATTTAAAATGAAATATATATAACACGCACACACACACACACACACACACACACACACACACACACACACACACACACACACACACACACACACACACATATATATATATATGTATGTATGTATATGTATGTATGTATGTATGTATGAATTCCAGAAAGAAACTGACAAGGTGTTTTTGCTTATTTTTATTATGTTTGTTTTGTACAAATATTTTCGTTTCTGGACTGAATGAATGTCAAAATTTTCAAGGATTTCTTTTGTTTGCTTAGCATAATACACGGTGTATGTTGTAGATGCTAAAACAGCTGATGAAAGTAGATATATTCTTAATTTCCAGAGATTTTCACTCGTATATGGAGAATGGAGAATTGTAAGTTTAAAAATAGTAAAAATCTACGTTGCTAACTGAAACGCTCCTCTGTGGCGAGATCGGTAAAGCACGTGAGGCTATATGACAGTTCCGTATAGGATACAGTTTCGATTCCTGTCGGAGGACGCATATTTTCTATGAAAACGGTGTCCTATATAAACAGGTTGACTTGATCAATTGTAAAATCAAATACAAATAACTTTAAATTGTAGCTAAAATCATCACTCAAAAATTGCGTTAGGCAATTGCATATATATATATATATATATATATTTATATTTATACACAATTGAGACAGAGAGTTGGCTAGCTGGAATCATTCAGTATATTCATAGAATTAGAATTGTTTATGTAATAGAGCTCAAATTAAATTACCTAGAATACCCTTTCTATTGATTTATTTACCCAGTAAAGTTCGTGTCTTGATATGCGCACAGAGCTTTGATCTCCCGTGTGATATCGCCTATAAAAGTCACAAACAAATTTCATTTTCGATAATTATGATGCAATTAATTAAAGAATTGATTTTCAGAATCTTGGTACAATTTTGTTCTGCAAGTAAATTAATTTATATTACTCTCCAAAAATTCTCAAATGCTTTCCTTAAGTAACGATGCTATAAAATGATACATTGGAAATCAAATCTGATATATTATGTGGTTCAAATTTTGATTATATCTAAATTAACTAACAAAATGAAATAAATCTTAATATTCGTTTAATTTTTATGATGATTTTTAGATTAAAATATGTCGGCTTAATAAAAGAAAAATCAATTCCTCAAAACTGTCGCTAGGATACGAAACTGAGCAAATATTATATATAATCAGGAGGTTCTTTGTGGCGGAGAGGTCAAGGTCCGTCAAATCTAATGAAGGTTTCCCCTAGGGGATGCTGATTCGCATCATGCCGCAGGACATATTTTTTAACAAGATTTCTGGTTATTCAGGCTGATAGATGGAAATCATATATTGTTTAATAAATAAATA